TTTTCAAGATAAGGTTTTAATAAAGCCACATCGATGACATCTGGTTTGCAAGGAATTCTTGTACTTGAGTGATTACTGAATAAATTTTTTTCACCTTCTTGATCAAACAAGAAAAAGAAAAAGTAGTTCTCACACACACACACTCTCTCTCTTCTCGTTTCTTCCCTTCATTTTGCTTTCTCTTTTAATCGACAATATACTAATTCATTCATTTCCATTCTTGAATGGAAAATATTTGATAACAGAAAATTCAACTTTGGAGGTGTCAATATGTTCAAATGACCTTTTTGAATTTTTTTTTAAAAAAACTTGAGCTTTATTTTGTCTTATGGGTAGATAGTTTGTATTTTGATGAAAATTACCCCTTCTAAGTAAACTGATGACTAATTTCATTGAAATTTTTGATGGAATATTATAACACGGAACAATTTGATATGTAGACCAAAACTTTGAGCCCAAGATTGATTGATTTCAAGGACTTCAACAATTTTTTTTAAAAACAAATTCAAGGACCATTTAAATAAAAAAATTCAACTCTTTATTTATTAATGAGTTATTTAAACTAACATCCCCTAAGGTTTTCAAATTTTTTTTTTCACAAAACCCCCTTAAGATTTAAGAAATTATACGAACACCCCTCGAGTTTATTTACACAAAACGACTTTCCGTTGATTTTTTGTCTAAAGATTGGTGATTTTATATAAAAATTAATGACAAAGTTAGGCTTGAAGATTAGATTGCACATACATGTGGTCCTTCCTACACAGAATCAAACCCACAAACCGAACACCCAAAAATCCCTCATTTTTGTATCTACTCTCATCTTCTCTGCCTCAGCCCTTCCCTCTGCAGCTCTTCCTGCAACTATGTTGCTCTTTGGACTAATGGTATCTCTCTCTACCACATTGCCTATTTGGTATCTGGTTTACTTAACGTTGATGCATTTGTGTAGTGTGTTTGTTTGCTTGAGCTAATTTGTTATTATTATGATTATCTTTAGTTTAATTCTTTTCTTAATTTAGCCTGCTGTTAATTATTTATTTGACATGTTCACTCTCTGTTTCCGTTGATTTGTTCTGTAATTTTTTTGGGTTCGCGTGCTTGTGTTGATTTAATTGTTCTGTTAATTGTATTTTCCATTGTGTGTGCCTCTGTTAATTCTATTTTCAATTTCGTTTTTTAATGTTCCGTTGGCTAATTGTGCTGTTAATTGTAATTTTTATGGTTGCAGACTTGCTGGTTGAGTTAGTATAAGGCTCTTGAACTAGGAGGTTTACCTGCAGTTTCTGACTACTTGTAAGTTTATTTCTCTTCCATACTTTGAGGGCAATGTATAAGAATTCAATTTTGCATCGTAGCCCTGCAGAAACTATGATATTTATCCAACTGCAATGTGTGGTTAGAAGATAAAACAATTTAGGGCCCCATAGTGTATGCGATTGCTACACTCAACGGAAGGTGGTGAATGCGAGAGTACCGAAGGACTGCATCTAATACTATGAGGTGTGAGATATGAATCATTTGGTTAATCATTGTAAGAAACACCCATACAGAGTCCCAGTAACAGAGCTACGACTTTGTTTTAGGGAAAGTGGGGTGTATTTGTTAAGGGGCGGGAGGCTGGAGCCTGTAAACTGGGCTGAAGATGGAAACTTTTGAGTACAAATTTTATTTAAGAATTTTTTGTTTTTCTGTGGGCTAGCCTGGGGTATAGCACGGATTATCCAACTAGTACCTTGGCCCCCTAAGAGTGCTGGACAAAGGGAAAATAAAGAAAATGATGAGTAGTAATGCTAATAACATCATTGCTGCAGGGTCTAGTGAAGAAGTGTGTATAAAAGTATGTATTGGGATGAAATTCTTAATGAGCTAGCTTGTGGTTCATAGAGGGAGAAAGGCTTTGATCCTGTTGTAATGTGGTCTAAAGGCTTTGATCCTGTTGTAATGTGGTCTGTTTGAAGTTTGGAGATGACACGAAAGGAGATTTGAATGTTTTCATTGAATCATGTTTGCCATATTGGGGTTTACAAAGGGTGTTTATCATTATTGTTTGATGATGGGTCTGCAAATGATTTCAAGTATATGAAGAAGAAATTGAGAGACTGAAATGTTAGTGTTATTACAATTTTATGTTTCCGGCGTTGTGATCTAGTTTAATTGGAACTTAGGGTAGATATGCATGATGGCATTGCGAGTATTCATAGGGAGAAAGACGATATACTCCTGATAAGGTTACAAAAAATTACAGCATGTTCATCAATTTGATGTCATCCTCTGTTTTAAAATTCAGAAAGTTGTTAAGCTGTTGGAAGAGGATTACAATATTGTCCTCTCTACAGTTTGAATTTTGAACCATTCAATTGTTCAAATGCATAGAGTTTACTCTTCTGTTAAAATCAGCCTGCCCACTTATGTTCATTTTTATTGTACTTAAGTTTTGATTAATCATTTTTATCCAAATTGGAAGACTCAACAACCAATGAAAAGGGGAAAATCATTCACGTTGGAACAAGATGTGGCTATTTGCAATGCTCGGTTAAATATCTTCCAAGATCCGTTCAATGTTGTTTCAAAACCGCAATATAATTTCTGGGATCGAATATACCAAAATTATGTTGAGTTAACTGGTGATCAAAATGTGCGATCCCAATGTTCAGTTCAGTCTAGGTGGAAATCAATCTTCGGGAGTTGCAAAAAATTTCATGATTGTCTTGCTCAGGTAGAAGATAAACAAAGTGGATTGACAGAATCTAACAAGGTAAGAATTCGTACTTTCCTTTTTCCTAGCAATAATATTTCTCAAATACTTCTCTTTTTCTTAGCAGTTAGTAATAATAATCCTTTGCTAACTTCTTTAAACCCTCACTAGGTTCTTCGAGCAAATATGCTGTACTTTGAGCATGAGAAGAAACGTTTTGCATTCAATCATTGTTGGGAAATTTTGCAACATAAGATGAAAGATTTGGTACCAGCTAAGAGTCCTGATCCTCGTACTAAGGATAGAGACCCCAACATCCATTCCTCATTCTCCTCGCATCCTCTGGACCCTAACACACTTGTTTCACCTGAATCTGATAAAGATTCATATTATATAATGGAGTCTCGAAAAAGCAAAAGGCCAACAAGAAGAAGAGCTGAAAAAGAAGCACACAGGAGGAGCAAGGTAGTCAATACTTTGGATTCTCGCATTTGCGACTTGATGGAGCAATTTACAAAACAATTGGCAGAGAGTGACAAAAGAAAGGCAGAAGTTGCAGAAAGAAAGGTAAAGGTCGTGGAGGAAATGAATGAAAGGCAGCAAAGAGAGCAAGATGACCGCATTATGAGTATGGACACTTCAAACATGGGACCACGAGCAAGAGCTTACTATGAGCACAGAAAGAGTGATATTTATTTCAAAACCATGGGGCACACTGCAGACAACAAGAGCTAGCTCAACGATATTTATGCCAAAATGACGGCATAAAATTCATGATACGAATATTGTGTACGAATCACATTCTGCATATGCATTGATGTTTGTATGAATTCATTCATGTTGATCTATCTTGAATTATGAATATTGTGTAGGAATCACATCCCACACTATCGATCAAGCTCATGACACTAGCCGTTACGTATACATACTTTAAAAATAAAAAGCCTTCATAGTACGCCAAGCAAAATTTGAACGAACAACAAAGAAGGTCTTTTCGCAAACCATGAGTTAAAAAACAGACAAACCAAAGCAAAGATCGCAATGAAAACACAAGAGAAAACCCTATGAAATAGGATTAAGGCAAGGGTAAAGGCAAGGCAAATCAAAGACAAATAAAGGCAAGGACAAACAGATCAGAAAGGTTGGAGATGTTGAGTTCCATGAGAGAGAGGTCTTGCACGTACATATTCCTCTATGGTTCGTTGTGTTGCTTTGTGTTGCTTGTGTTTGTGTTTCAAGTTTCAACCGCTATAGTATTCGCAACATATGAAGCTGGATTTTTTTTTTCCTTTTGTATTGTTGTTGATTTATGATTTAGTTGTAAATGCATGTAGGCTGTAGCTGAGTAGCGCATTATAAAATGGTACTAGAGTAAGGCCACTTGATATAGCTTGTACACGTGTTATAATATGGGTGGACGACAGACTACTAGTTATCCTTGCTTAGTCTTAGTGCCACTTGTAGAGGAGCTGTGATCTATAGGAGCTGTGATCTATAGGATCTCTAGGAAAAGGAAAGTAGGGAATTTGAGGACGCCTAGGAAGAGGAGTACGTTTAGGATTAGGAATGAAAATAATGGGAGCTTCAGGATGAGGAATGAAAGGAATGGGAGCTTCAGGCATCCGATGTTTAGGAATGTGAGGTTCATGAACAGAAGTTTTGGGGTTGTTAGGTTTAGCAGTTCCTTTTAATGTGGCAAGAGCTCTAAGAGCTTTGGAAATGTTAGGGATTTTTTTGAACGGGAAATAGGTTGCATAGAGAGAAGAAGAAGCATCTTCTTCATGAGCTCGCACTGCAAGAACCACGACTACAATCGATACAATCATCACCTTCATAACTAGCGTGAAAATAGAAAAGGAGAAAATTGCACAGTTTTTTGTCTTCTAATAATGTTCTTGTTTGCTCAAAAGAAGACTACAACTTCAAACCAGAGTAGCTAAATTTGTAGTATCAAAGAAATGATGTCTATTAGTTTGTCTTCTTTTGGGGTTATTGTCCATTGGGGTGGTTTAAAAAATTTAAAAACAAAGCTCCAAAACACAAAACAAACCTCAACTGCTGTGAAGCTAGGCTCTTTGAAGTTGTTAGGGATTCCTTTTCCTGTTTTGGGAACATATGTTGCATAAAGTCCACTAACCCTCTGTTAGTAAGAACTTTATAATAATACATCTATTTCTATAAGTTTACATTTATTTCCACACCAGTTGGTCCAATAACATTTTATGCTAATGACTTTCAAATACAGTGTGTGTGAGAAAACACCCCCTTTCAAATATCGCTTATACAAAAAATAAATAAAAAATAAAAACCAGATGGAAGAAGTTCCATATAATCAAGAGTTAATACCAAAAGTCACAAGCACTTACGGAAATAATATTCAGGAAAATCATCCACATCCCAAAAGACTTAAAAGCTCAGATTGATCAAAAGCAAATAGATCCGCTTTACATGACCCACACAAATATCTATCAAAACCACCCAAATCACGTCCAATTATTCAAAGATCATCCTCCATCCTCAAGTACTCTCCAATATCTGTCTGGTGAAGCACCACAATTCCATTGGGATCCAACTTCCTACAATCCTGAGTAGACTTGGCTGCAATCCCGAAACCCAAAGGAACATCTGACATCGAAAACACCACCACGCCATCACCTGGCACAATATTCTCTGTAATCCTCCCCAAACCACCTTTCAAGACATGGTTTCCGTACAAGAACGACATCTCAGAGGTAGGTTTGAGCCAGACCTTGTGTTTAGCATTTGAGGCCACTAAACTCAAGCACTGAACTGTTAAGTGGAAACTACCACCATGAGTAAACCTACCGATACAAGTGCCCAGAGAGACTAACTGAGTCCGAGCTATATTTGTAGCACGCTTTACTAGTGATTCGCTAACATAGTACACCTTGTTCTTGTGGAGGCGAAAGCAATAACGGCCTGAATCTGGGTCTGGGCCTTCATGAGAAGGGTTCTCGACGATGTTTTTGAGGTTGTTGCCTGTGAACTTGAAAAGCTTTTCGAACACTGCTGTGGTCTCAGTCTCATCCAAAGGTCTCATCTTTGTCCAGGACTTGAGGAAGGCTTTAGGACGGAGGTTTCTGGGGCCTGCTTAGCTATACACATACACAAGGATGAGGGAGATACAGATACAGAGGATAGCATAACAAAGCATAACATAAAAAATAAACATCCAATAAAGCATAACATAAAAAATAAGTATCCCACAAAGCATAACATACTTAAAGCTGTCCAGAAACAGCCTTATTTATATCCTCAAGCTCAGACAGGACAACCTCAGACCTGGAGATGGAGGACGAGCACCATTTCTCCTCTCATACCTCCTTTATTCACAGACAAGCCTTTGGATATGACTTTATCAATAGACATTAAACTAAATTCTTAGAACACATAATTGTAATAAAACTAATGACACAAAAGTGAGCTACTCCTAGCCATCCTATCCTTGTACATACATACTACATAGTCTCAAGTTTTTTAGCCACCAACTTGATCAACTATATTTGAGTAGCAAAATTAGTTCCAATTTTTGAATTCGTTTGATTTTGTTCTCTACCAAGCTGAAGACATCAGAAGAACACAGTACAAATCACTGCATGTGTATCGAACAGTTTGTTCATTTCCACAATAGTTTCCTTCATGCACAGCATAATTGACATCAAGATGGAACAATAAAAATACAGAACAAACCAAACCCAGATGAAAAAACAGCAAGGTAAATGTCATGAATAAAAAAAATTTATACAAAGAAAAGAAAACAAAAACAAAAACAAAAACGTATGCCTTGATTTCAATGGTAAAACCCAAAAACCTATGCATTTGTCCCTTTTTCCTTTCAAGTCTTCTTTGTTCTAATACACTATGCTTTGACACAGCAATGACAACCAAAATCAGTCTAAATATCAATTACCAGCATATTAAAACAGTCCAAATACCAAATCTGAAACACCCAATTATTGAAACAGCCAAAAACAAAAAATAAAGAGAAACTCAGAAATTTTCATACCTTTATGGAAAGCCAGAGGCAGTGAGAGGGACGGATGTGAGTGAGACAGAGAACTGAGGTAGGGAGCACGAACGAGGTGAGAGGAGGCGGAGCGAAAGTCGAGAGAACGAGGGTTGAAAGTGAAAACTAAAATCTGATTTTGAATCAAATTTTCCCTTTACCCTAAAACCCTAAACCCAAAGGTCGTGCTGTGAGGAAGACAAGAGAAGCGTCGCGAATTGACAAAAGAAAGAAACTTTGAGGGTTTAGGTCTGATCAAGTGTGTTAGGTGTAACATAATACAAAACATATAACACATTAAATATTTGACACGTGGCAATCAAATTAGAATGGGCTTTAGCCCATTGAGAAAAGAAAATCATATTACAAAATAGTTAACTTGTATCTTCTTTGTGTTAAGTTTATTTTTTCTATACATGACTCATGAGGTAAACTTAAAAACCAAGTTATATTCAAATTTGGCGATCAAAAGAGACACTGTAATGAATTTCGAATCAGTTACTAAATTAATTATACTTCTTTTTCTAATGTTAAAAGATCTTTTAAGTTCGAATCTCTAATTTATGATAGAATAAAAGAATAAAAGAAAAAGAAAATTTCCCACAACCACGCCGCGACAATATAATATTCAATAATTACCATCTCTGGCCAATTAGTTAGGCAAGTTTAAATTGTCGGTTTTGTGGACTTGACTTTGTATACAAGTAGACGAAAACAAACTTGCTGGACCCAAAACCTATGGAGAAAAAGTTAAGCATGGAACTTTCATCCCAGTGTCCTCATTAAGCAACATGTAAAATAAAAATCTCAATTCTGATACCAACATGTTATTCCCACCTGCACAAGTGGGTTTAAAAATGGTAAACAATCAAGCATGAGGAAAACGCATTGAACATTTTTTTAATTCAACACTCAATTAAAGTACATTAATCACAGTATTAATTCATGGGATCTCCTAAATTCTCATAACTTCCTCAACAATCAATACTCTCACAAACTGCCATCAACCCACCAAAAAGTTTCTCCCTAGCTACAAGAGAAGAACAAAAACATGTCTTCTCTCCAACCAACATTTTCTTCCAAATCCAGTGCACACTTCAATGAGTTTGAATGGGTCATTCAAATCCAAAAAACACTAGAGGAAGAGCTTGAGGATGATGGGGAAATCCCTGTCTCCATTTTCAATGTCCCCAAGGCCCTTTTGGCTAGTGAACCAGATTCCTACATCCCTCAAGAAGTTGCAATTGGCCCTTACCACTATTTGCGTCCTGAGCTCTATGAGATGGAGAGGTACAAAGTGGCTGCAGCTAAAAGGACCCAAAAGCAGCTCCAATGCCTAAAGTTCCAAGACCTTGTTGAGCAATTGAAGAAGCTGGAGCCGCGGATTCGCGCTTGCTACCACAAGTATTTGGATTTCAATGGTGACACTTTAGGTTGGATGATGGCCATTGCTGCATCATTTTTCCTTGAGTTACTCCAAATCTATGGGGCCAAAGAAGGAAGGGTTTTGACCAGAGTTTCCTCAAGCATGTCACACTTGGTTGACTTTTCAGGGAGCAAGTCAGCTCACCATGCAATTCTTAGGGACTTGGTGATGCTTGAAAACCAAATCCCACTATTTGTGTCCAGAAGAATTTTGGAGTTTCAATTCACATCACTGGAACAAGCCGACGACCTTCTGCTTTCGATGCTAATGGGGTTGTGCAAGGAGCTTTCACCATTCAAGGTGGTGGATCAAGACCTGCCAAAGATCCAAGTCTCAGAATGTGCTCATTTGCTAGACTTTTTGTACCAAATGATCACCCCCAAGTTAGAACGTCGACCGTCTGAAATTGTGGAAGCAGAGGATGAAGGAGAATCCACACCACACAAGGGATCAAAATCTTCTGATGATAGCCCGAATTTCGTGAAGCAGTTTCTGCAGGAGGTATGGAAGCTGCTGTCGAAACTAAACGAAGGTCCGGTACGTCTTTTGAAAAAACTACTTGTATCTGGTCCTGTTAAAGTGCTTTTTAAATTGCCTTGGACAATCCTCTCCAACCTTCCTGGATTTGCAATGTTGAGACAACCTGTTTCTTATTTATTTTCCACCCAAGACAAAGAAGAAACCAACCCCGAAAATGAGAATTCGAGCAATAGCATTAGTAAACCACCATTGATAGAGGAGATTACCATCCCTTCTGTTTCTGATCTTGTAAAATCCGGAGTCTGTTTTGTGAAAACAAAAGGTAGCCTTTCGACCATCTCCTTTGATCCTAAAACAGTCACATTTTACCTCCCTGCTACAAGCCTAGATGTAAATACAGAGGTGATCTTGAGAAACTTGGTAGCATATGAAGTATCAAATGCATCAGGGCCGTTGGTTTTCACCCGTTACACCGAATTAATGAACGGGATCATAGACACTGAGGAGGACGTGAAACTGCTTAGAGAGAAAGGTATAATTTTGAACCATTTGAAAAGCGATGAAGAAGTAGCCAACGTTTGGAATGGTATGAGCAAGTCCATTAGATTGACCAAAGTGCCATTCTTGGACAAGACAATTGAAGATGTGAACAAGTATTACAATGGCAGATGGAAGATCAAAATGACAAAGTTTATGAAGGTTTATGTTTTTGGTTCCTGGCAATTTCTTGCTGTGCTTGCTGGCTTGTTGCTCTTGCTCTTGATGACATTGCAAGCATTTTGCTCAGTCTATTCCTGCAGTCGCGTATTCCATATCACCACCACTATTACTTAGTGATGCTTTATGCCTAATTAGCTTATTTCCTTCCCTTCTTTTGCTAATTGAAACCTCTTGATTTGTACTTCCTAAGCTTGGTGTGTGCTTTCTTTATTTTAATTGGTTGTATTTTCAAGGGTGGATTGTGTAATGATCTAAAGATTGCAGTAGTGATTATTTGCTAATGGCTTGATTCTCTCTTTTTCTTTTGTATTCTCCTTTGAGGAAATTAATTAATTATGATTGTAATGATGATCATTATCCTCCAAATTTCTTGGCCACTATACTTTTAAAATTAAGATGACCAGCTTTCTGTTTTTGCATTTCTTACTTTGAATTTCATGAGATTCCCATGATCATGTGACGCAGAGCTTTTTATATATTTTTCATGATATACTAGTTGTTTTTAAATATTTCATATGGTGGTAGGAGCATTTGGGCACACCACTAGAAAATAATCAAATGGATTGAATTATGTTACATTTCATGAAAACCTTAGAAAAATAATGAAAACCAACTCAGCTTAAGCTCAGGGTATTATTAACTGTCGGGATATATTTGTTTAATACAAGCAATAATCTATTTTAAATTAATCTAAACTATAAGGAGAAGGATTTGAATTCATTCAGGTGCAGAATGGATAGCACATATGCTCTAGCCAATTTGACCAAGCCTATATATACACTGTCAGAATATATATACCTGTTACTTCTGAATATTTATATTTAATAAGGGAATAAGAAGAATTAAGACAGTTGGGTCTTTCAGATATATACTCTACCAACCATTCCACAGTATGATCACCATAGAGATAACTTCCAAATTCTCCCATGTTTCATATAAAGCCTAACCATTGATCCTAAAACAGTCACATTTTACCTCCCTGCTACAAGCCTAGATGTAAATACAGAGGTGATCTTGAGAAACTTGGTAGCATATGAAGTATCAAATGCATCAGGGCCGTTGGTTTTCACCCGTTACACCGAATTAATGAACGGGATCATAGACACTGAGGAGGACGTGAAACTGCTTAGAGAGAAAGGTATAATTTTGAACCATTTGAAAAGCGATGAAGAAGTAGCCAACGTTTGGAATGGTATGAGCAAGTCCATTAGATTGACCAAAGTGCCATTCTTGGACAAGACAATTGAAGATGTGAACAAGTATTACAATGGCAGATGGAAGATCAAAATGACAAAGTTTATGAAGGTTTATGTTTTTGGTTCCTGGCAATTTCTTGCTGTGCTTGCTGGCTTGTTGCTCTTGCTCTTGATGACATTGCAAGCATTTTGCTCAGTCTATTCCTGCAGTCGCGTATTCCATATCACCACCACTATTACTTAGTGATGCTTTATGCCTAATTAGCTTATTTCCTTCCCTTCTTTTGCTAATTGAAACCTCTTGATTTGTACTTCCTAAGCTTGGTGTGTGCTTTCTTTATTTTAATTGGTTGTATTTTCAAGGGTGGATTGTGTAATGATCTAAAGATTGCAGTAGTGATTATTTGCTAATGGCTTGATTCTCTCTTTTTCTTTTGTATTCTCCTTTGAGGAAATTAATTAATTATGATTGTAATGATGATCATTATCCTCCAAATTTCTTGGCCACTATACTTTTAAAATTAAGATGACCAGCTTTATGTTTTTGCATTTCTTACTTCGAATTTCATGAGATTCCCATGATCGTGTGACGCAGAGCTTTTTATATATTTTTCATGATATACTAATTGTTTTTAAATATTTCATATGGTGGTAGGAGCATTTGGGCACACCACTAGAAAATAATCAAATGGATTGAATTATGTTTCATTTCATGAAAACCAACTCAGCTTAAGCTCAGGGTATTATTAACTGTCGGGATATATTTGTTTGATACAAGCAATAATCTATTTTAAATTAATCTAAATTATAAGGAGGAGGATTTGAATTCGGGTGTAGAATGGATAGCATATATGCTCTAGCCAATTTGACTAAGCCTATATATACACTGTCAGAATATATATCTGTTACTTCTGAAGATTTATATTTAATAAGGGAATAAAAAGAACAAAGACAGTTGGGTCTTTCAGATATATACTCTACCTACCATTCCACAGTATGATCACCATAGAGATAACTTCCAAATTCTCCCATGTTTCATATAAAGCCTAACCAACATACATATATATATATATATATATATCTTTATGTCTGTCCAAAAATAAAAACCAAAAGAAAAGGACTAGCATATAAGAATTAATAATGAAAGACTAAAGGTTGAAATATATATTATAATCATTGTGGAACATGTTCTACCTGCTACTTTATCAATATTGAACGGAGGAGGGTGCATTTGCTTCAGCGGGTGCATAATATTTTAAGCTATATATAGGACCACATGGCCAGCTGATGATTTTTATTTTTTATATTTTTTATGATATTGATGGTGAGAGTGAGTGACAACTTTTACTTATTCATTCACATTTCTGATCAGGAATTGCGGAATTAATTTACATTGATACACAGAGGAAGTACTTAAGTTTAATTAATCTAAAAGGAGTTGAGAATATCATGTTCAAACAAGATCAATGAAGTACAAAAACCACTTAAAGGAGACGTCTTTTTTTTTATTTTTTTTATAATAAATAGAAATTCTATGATTGCATTTATAATTCAGTTTAAAAAGTCACTAACTACAAAGGGCCAATGCTTATATGGCACAGACATTTCATCAAGTCGAAGTGTCGGGGTGTCGAACACGCAGACACAAGGACACGGGTCAACAGTCAAGACACGTTTTGGACACGGTTTAACACTTTTGGACGTGATCAACTGAAGTCAAGAAACGGGAGGGACCATTTTGAAAATTATAAAATAAAAACTGGGGTCAAAACATAATTATTGAAAAATACGTGGACATATTTGAAATATTTTTTAAAAGTGGGCTAAAAATGTAAATAATATTTTTAAGTTTTGTTTTTTCCTTTTTTGTTTTTTTCATAGCTGAGCTGATATTTTTGGTTGACTAAGGATATTGATAGCAATTTGGTCGTGAGAGAAGCATCTTTTTGAGTGGGTAATTCATTCACTTTTGTTTCTTTTTCTTTTTAATGCAAACTCGATTCTTATTTTATGAAGTAGGAAATCGTTTTTCTTATTTTGAATATGATAGAACATATACGGAAATATGTGTGAAATTTGGTTTATGATAAATCATGAATATGTGTGAATAAATAGGTGTATCATTCTTTATTTTGTTTAAGGAAAGATGAGTAATGCTAAGTTAACTCAGTTAACTAAAATGAGTATGAATTTGTTTTATAGTATTATGACATTGAAGTATTAAGTATCAATTTAAAAAAAAAATATATATATAAGTATATACTATTATAATTTTATTAGGATTTATTATTATTTTAATTGCCATGTCCTAACCGTGTCTGTGTCCGTATCCTAGTTTTTTGAGTTTTTCCGTGTCGCATTTTTGTGTCCGTATGCGTGCAACACAGGCCAATACAAACTAGTCACAAAAGGGCCATTACAATAACAGAGCAGTTTAACATCAAAATGAAGAGAATCTGGTGCGTCTCCACTAACTATCATGCATATTCGAAGAAACTCTAGCATAGACATCCCAACTAAGATTGTAAAATTTAGAATAATAAAACAGAGTTAAAGCTTGAAAAATCCAAGCCATAACAACACAAATAAAACTCTCACAAAAGAGAGATGAAAAACTCTCACAAATGAGAGGTGAAAACTACACAGAGAACAAATCGGATGCAACTTATACGAGTTGTGCTGTGATAAAATATTTTTTTTCTCAAAAAAGTTTGAAAAAAAAAAAGTTGGACATTATATTTTTTTGGGCTAATGTCAAAAGACTCCCTGAAAGTTTGGGGTCATTCTCAATATGGGCCCCCGAGTTTCAATTTTATCAATTTACACTATGATTTTCAAATTTGACCAATTTAACCCTTCCGTTAAGTTGACCGTTTGGTCAGACATTAACTAATGACGTGTCCATATGGGACCCACCCACTAACCAATCAATTGCAAACTCAAAGGTCGCAACAAAATAGCTGTTTGGGAATTAAGCTCTATTATTACGATAACAAGCATTAGGGTTTTAAGAGCTTTTTATAAGTTAGGGAGTTTTAGGGACAAAAAAAGGATTTTGAGGAGGAGGAGGGCTTTCGGGAGGAGGAGGAGTTTAAGGAGGAGAAGAGCTTTCGGGATTAGAAGGACCTTTACGTGGAGGAAGAAAATTTTTAGTACCAGGAGGAGTTTTAGGAGGTTTTGGATGGGAAGTTCTATAAGAAAAGGGATCTTTCTCACAATAATATCTTGGAATATAGTTAGGATTTTTTTTTTTTTTCTGATACGAATAAATTCAGAAATTACATTGTTCGGAAATTTGAGAAAATCATTATCTTGAAAAATGGATGGATGAACATAAGAGGTAATTTTAGAAAGAAAGCAAGATTGAGGAAGAGAAGAAGCATCTTCTTCGTGGGCTTGCACTACAACAAACGCAAATAAAACCAATACCAACTTCATCTCCATAGCTAGATAAAAATTGAAATAATGTTTCTCAAAGATAAAGTGAGCACATATGGTGATAAATAATGTTTCTCGAAGCTTTTAAAGAAGAAATGAAAATAGTACTTTGTACTCAAAGTTTGAAGAGTTAGAGACTCCAATTTAATATAATTATTTCATCAAGCACGTTAAAATTTAACAATTACTTTCCTATTTCACCAAATTTCAAAAAATAAGAAGAAAATAAAATAATGAAAACAGGAAATCCAACATAACTCATTAAATTGTTTTTTCATCAATAGGAAGAGGGGAATCAAACTTACGACCCCTTGTAAGTTACTTTTGTTTTTTCATAGCTCATCAACTTGTAACATTTTAAAGAGAAGTACCATTAAATTCTTAGCTAAATAAAAATTGAACAAGCTGGTACTAATTTTACTTTAGAAAAACGTAGCTATTGAAATATATAACCTACATATTGACCTTTAAAGAATCTGTGAAAACAACTAACTGGATAAAAATTTAAAAAATTTAAAAAAAATTATCCCAAGAAAGAAAAATGGATGAAGGTGCAAGGTGAAATCCTACCCAAAATAAAGTGCCTACATTTTTTAATACACCAACCAACCAATGTCGGGGGCTTTTTTTGCGACTCCAATCAGCCAGAGAAAGAGACCGGTTTCAATCCATTGTGGGCATAGAGACCCACCATTGGATTGGGTCTCTAAGAGCTTGTCTCTCTTGAGGAATCTTAATTGAGAAACTTAAATGAGGACAGATCGTACTTATTGGATAAAATTGGACAGTTGGATTAAAAGAGTAACTTAAGTTGCAGCCGAGTTCTCTTCAACCCAAAACAAAAACCTATCCTGATGAAACACAAATCATTTAACTCATAATACACCACTAATTTCTTGTAATCATCTAAAAACAGCCACGCCACAACAATATAATATTCGATAATTACCATATCCGGCCAATTAATTAGGCAAGTTTAAATCGTGGCATTTGTGGACTTGACTTTGTATTCAGGTAGACGAAAACAAAATTGCTGGACCCAAACCTATGGTAGAAAAAGTTAGCATGGAACTTTCATCCCAGTGTCCTCATTAGCAACATGTAAAATAAAAATTTCTCCAATTCTCATACCAATATGTTATTCCCACCTGCACAAGTGGGTTTAAAAAAAGGTAAACAATCAAGCATGAGGAAAACGCATTGAACATTTTTTTAATTTAACACTCAATTAATGTACATTAATCACAGTATTAATTCATGGGCTCTCTCCTAAAGTCTCATTACTTCCTCAACAATCAATACTCTCACAAACTGCCATCAACCCTTCAAAAAGTTTCCCCCTAGCTACAAGAGAAGAACAAAAACATGTCTTCTCTCCAACCAACATTTTCTTCCAAATCCAGTATACACTTCAATGAGTTTC